GTCTTGGCCTAATTAATCTACATGCCAGTTTTTGTAGCTATCGGATAATGAGAACAGAACAGTTACAAATGTCGCAGGTGCGGGTAAAAAAGAGCATGAGATTTTCATAGTGAATGCAGCTCTCAAATCAAAAACTGAAACTGTACATTGTAAATCGAACAAAAATATGAAAATAAAACTCTCCCCCCCCCCCCCCGCAAAGTTTTATAAGAAAATTTTCGTTCACGTTTTCCAAATGTTACAAAATTTGGCATGCGGACTAACTATGCCATGACAAACATATTTGGTCTTCATAATTATATAAGAAAAAAGGGAGGGGTAGGAAAAAGAGCCAAAAATGGATGCTCACTCGCTGTTACTGGTCTCGATGAATACCATCCAGGGGTGGTCTGACCACTCGGCATCCACTCCATTGATGATCCTGTCTCCAGCCTCTATTTTCCCACTATCCGCTGTTTTCGCTTCGTTCTCATATCCATACTCACTGGAAGGCAAGTTCGTTGTTGTTGTTGATTTCGGCTTTGATTGTCTTACCGTTTTTTATCAAATCAAGCATAACTTCATGGTATAATGATTTTAATTAAATTTTGACGTAATTCTATTTTTAAAAATTTCAAAAAAAAATTAACTGCGGGTAGGGGTAGATAGAGGACGTTGAAAAAACGTAGCAGTGGGAAATTAAAATAAGAACTGTTGTTGTAGAAACGGTAAAAGAGTCTCTCGCTTTCAGCAGAAGTTTACTGCGATGGCCCGAAAAACTGTCACTCCGCCTAATGCGCTCGGTGAAGTTTTCGTACTTAAATGATATACCAAGTTTCGCTCGGAGTTTTTGTTCAGGTGTATTTCTGCGGAAGTTGTGATCATTTTTATTTACAGAAATCAGGGGTGCAATAAAGTTTAAAATCAGAAAAAGAAGCAGAAAGGACATTTGACTGTTTGTATTCATCTTAGTCTTGTTTTGAGAAAATATCAAGCAAAAATCAAGGAAACAGCACGTGACTTATTATTAGAGACAGAAATCAAAGATTAAAAATTGGTATTGGAAATGAAATGTACTATTGCGCGAGTTGACGAAAAATGCTAGTCATAGAAGAAAGAAAACCAAACTAAACTAGCAAGACTAGCATTTTTCCATTAATGGAATGAATCACTAGAATTTTTCGATAAATTGATTTGTATTACTAGTATCTGATCCATAAATGAAAATCTATGACTATAGCTTTTTTCCATACATTATATGTATATACATGATTAATATTAAGAGTTTCCCTGTAAATTTTAGTGTTTGTCCTAACGCACAATAACCAAACACTTTATGGCTCTTTTCCAGTTTTCCACTCCCCTCGTAAAATAGCAAAATAAATCTGTTTAAAATTGTTCGCACGGCGTTTTGCATGTTATAAATGTTGTGAAAATTTGTTCGCCTGTTCACGCTGACTCGTTTTCATGCAATTTTTAACATGAAAAATAATTTCAAATAGACTTTCCTTTTATGAACTTGGCTTTTTTCCAGTTCCCCCCCCTTTGATTTTTTCTGAAATCCATTAGATGAAAGTCTATTTAAAATACTTTTTGATGTTATAAACTGCAATAAAACGTGTCAGCGTGAACAGGTGAACAAATTTCTACAACATTTCTAACATGCAAATTGCCGTGTGAACAATTTATGAACAACTTTTTGTAATTTTACGAGGGGAGTGGGAAACTGGAAAAGAGCCATGAACTTCACCAAAAATCAAAGGGGGGAACTGGAAAAGAGCCCACTTTATGAAACAAGAACTCAAAGTTAAGTGGCAGAAATCTCGCAGAGAAACTGCATTTGCAAATTAGCCTTGTCATTTAAAAAACAGAATTTTTTCAAAATTAAAAAAAGCACAACTTTCTGCTTATGACTACAAGTATTATGCTTTTCAGTTGCTGAAAATTGTGGCTGGATCTTTAACAAAATTAAATTTATCATACCATATTAAACATACAAAAAAGTTCTCGTTTCACTCAAAAACTCATTAGGTTTTTGTTTCAAATATCTGAAAAAATAATGCCTGGGCTTACGCGAGGCAAAAATTTGCAAAATGGCATGAAAAACTACCTTTTTTCGAAAAATATTTGTTGGGGCATAAAAGTAAGCTTTTCAATGGTGGAGACTACTCAAAAAATTTTTCGTCGATTTTGTAATTTTTTCTCAAATTCTGAAGTTTTTGTTAGTGACATAAAAAACGCTTATACACTTTCCATAAATAGAAGAAACAAATTTAAAAGATTAAAGCCCTCTCAAAATCCCATGAAAACCCATTTGTGACAAACTTTTTGCAGGCAAAACATTTTTGAAAGAATAGCCTAGGAACGCCGTTTTTAGGCCCTTTTTGGAAAGTGTCTTATGCTGGGAAGGTCTTATGATGAAAAATATTTAATTTAGGCAGTAAAAAACGTAGTTCAATCCAGAACAATTACTTTTGAAAAGTTCAATTAGCTCTTCCTTGGGTAAAAAATTTTTTGATAAATCAAAACAACATTATTCCGCGAAAAAAATTAAAGATTTTTTTTTTAATTTTTAATTTGCTTTTTTTGATGGTTTTTCATTTTTTGAAGACAACTGCAGTTGATTATGTCTAATTCACAATTTTTGCTACTTTATTTGGCATTTCGTAAACTCTTCATAACGTGATTTCTTGATTTCAAAGAAATAAAATAGTTTATAACTTGTCATTCAATTTTCATGAACGAAAAAGCATTTTTTCGAAGGTTCCATTCATTGTTTTGCATAAAAAGTATTTTTTGTCTGTGGCCGTCAAATCTAGTGATATATTCAGATACTGGTGCTCACAACGACCTATAATCAATCCGCAGAGAGCGAAAACAAAAAAATATTTGATTTCGAACTTTTTTACAATATGATACATTTAGTTGCTATGGGATAAAACTTTCTTGCTTCACAGAAAAAGTTCATCGTGGTTTTGCTTTTTGGGTAAAAACTAATTTTTTTTGAAGATATAGATAGTTAAACCAGGTTTTACCATGCAAGTCAATATTTGGTAGAAAAAAATTTATTATAATATATTTGCTTGAAATTATGCAATAATCTAACAATATAGAAAAACTATCATTGATAAAACACCAAATTGAGGAACCTTAGAAAAAATTTTAACCTGGTGAAGTGCCGCTTACAACTTTTTATTGTTCCGATTTTCGATACGAAAGTAACGGAATATTTGTGCTCGGGGTGGGTTTTTTTTTCTTCAGACAAATTTCGACTTTTTAACTAGCCATTTTCGACGGAATTTTTTTATATCATTCAAAAGGTATTGTTGTCTTGAGCTCAAATTTGAAAAGATATTTCACCTGTGATCATTTTTCGTAAAGTTATGGGGGTTTAAAGATTGCCATTTTGGCCAATTTGGGACAATTAATGCGCGATATATTTCGCGCTATTAACGCGTAAGCGGAGAGTTAAGCCGTCTTAAAATCGTTCCAAGTTGGTTAAAAGAAGCTTATTTGCCATAATTGATTGGTTACAAGAAGCTAAATCTATCTTTTTGTACTTTAAATGGCGTGTGGGGGATGATTTTCATCAAAAAATTTCAAAATTAAAAAAAAAACTTTTTTAAATTTTATTAACATTTATTTTTTTAATGTTATTACTGCTCCATAAAACCTTAAAAGGCAGTCGGAACATTCAGGGCTTCGCCCTGATACGAGCAGTCTTGTTTTATTTGGATCTGATTGGTTATTCTATGTACCATTTATCCGAAAATAGACAGAAAATACAAAAAAATTTCATGAGAAAAAGTGACATCTCTGGTCCGATTTTGACAAAATGGTTGTTCAATTTTTGTCCATTTTTTTACTTGTTTTTTATTTCCGAGTTTTAATTGTCGCCGTTATCCTCTTTCATAAAATTTTCTCTAGTGTTGTCCAGTTTCTTCGAACAATAAGCCGTTATAAATTTTTTGTTTTTTTTCCGATACCACTTTTTACTAGGACAGTTTGCTGTTTCAGTTTTTGCTTTGCCTCTAAAGTACCCTAATTTTAATTTAATTTCAGAAGTTTGCAATTTTTAGCAATCGCATTTTTGATTTCATTCGATATCCAGCTTTTTTAACTTAATCTTCCTTATTGATTTTTTTTTTGAATTTATTAGAAGCGCCAGCTAAATTACCAAGTAGGTCATTTTAAAAGCAATGTTAAGGTGGCGAAATTCTCCGACGTTCTTTCAAAGTTTCGATGATTCTAAACCTAACTTTTATCTCACGATAAATTTATCAAACAAATTGTGTTCAGTTCATAAGCTTAGAGCAGTAGTTCTCAGTTAATGAACTGAGCTGTACAGCAATTTGTTTTCTGAAAAACATGCCGTTTTGAGCTTTTTTGAAAATTTTGACCATCAAGTTTAGTTTATTGTGGCGCCAAGGGCACTTTTAAAAATTTGGGGTCGGTCAACCAATATTTGGGAAGAGAATGAATGGTTACGTCTCCGCCTGTCAATCGAAAGGTCGGATGTTTGAGGCCTACCATGGTCCGTGCTTGTTACTTGAGGGCGTTTTGAGCTTTTTTGAAAATTTTGACCATCAAGTTTAGTTTATTGTGGCGCCAAGGGCACTTTTAAAAATTTGGGGTCGGTCAACCAATATTTGGGAAGAGAATGAATGGTTACGTCTCCGCCTGTCAATCGAAAGGTCGGATGTTTGAGGCCTACCATGGTCCGTGCTTGTTACTTGAGGGCCAGAAAAATAGCCAAACAGATTGCATGTATTTCTTAAACAGAGGCACAACAACAGTTCACCCCGTTGGCCCTTTCCCTTGTTGATAAAACGAATTAACTTAACTATGTGACAAGCCGTCTTTAAAATTTTGAATGAGAGCTGAGAATTTCTATACTATAAGACTGTTAGAGACTTCAGTCTTGACGAAGCACGATCAAAGCTCAAGCAAACGTTAAAAATTACACTTTTTATTCGCTTAATGCATATTATTACGTTCAAAATTTTTGAATCAATCTGTGCTTCTCTGTTTCGAGCATTACTTTGGTAGATTAATTTTGATACAGTCGATTTATTTTATTACTAGTACTGGCAGTCATATGGCTTCTCAAAGGACTTCAAGCAACCAAAATCGATCAGGAAAGGGCTAAAAAATTGAGCCTACAGGCAATAAAGCCAAAATTTTTGAGCAACAGACTAAAACTAAAAAGAGTAACTCTATAAAAAAGTTAAAATAGATTTAATCTCTTTAGTTAAAAGGCCGATTTTTTTTGGGCGGAAAATTCCTCGGATATTTTTTGTAATTCTATGTCTTCATATTTGTATTCTCTTTGTGTTCAATAAATTTAAATCTGTAGGCTCAATTACTGGTGTCCATTATTAGGAAGGAACCAATCGGAGGGGTCCGATAGACGGCAAACTGTTTTGACCCCCAAAAGTGACGCCCCCGAGCCTCCTTGGAAACAGGCAAGCTCAAAAACTTGAAGTTTTAACAAATTAATAACATAAAAGTATTGAATTGATCGATAGTTGGATGTAAAATAAATTAGTTTTGCTTTATCAATTGGTTTTTGCAATGATTAGTTCGTAAATAGCGGTGGTGAAATGGTTGCGTCTCAGCTCTCAATTGAAGGGTCGGATGTTCGGGGCCCACCATGATCTGTGCTCGTTGCTTGAGGGTGAAGCAATATTACCCAGCCCAGAAAAACAACCAAATAAATAGCATGTAGTAATTAAACAGGGACACAACAACGGTTCGCCGTGATGAGCTGTACAGCTCTTGTGTTGGTCCTTTCCCCCGTGGATAAATGGTCTTAATCTTTTTTATTTTTGAACAATATCCACCAAACTGTTACTACCGCCAATTCACTATCAATTTTCTAAAAGGCTCTTTTATTTATAAGCCTGATAATTTTGAGCATCCCTGAATATTTGAAGCAGTTCAAGCCCTGCGAAGAGGAGGACTGTGGCGAGGGGTCGGAAGCTACGATGCATTGTGCCCACTGTGGCCACACTCTGTGCCAGAAGCACAGGGCGGAACACATCAAAGGGGTGATAGATGAGCTAAAAAATATGAGACAGATGACAGCTGACAGGCTTAAAAAGGGCAAGGACAGGAGGTAAAATGAAATTAAAAACAAGGATAGCCGGTCGCTGTGCAAGTAGCACAGAATGCTCAGACCATATTCATACAAAACCGAAAAGTTTTTTTTTACTTTTCAAATTAGTGTCGTTTTTAGCGGGTCGTGTAAAGAGAAACAAATCATGGATATAAACAGGTTTAGTTGGGCATAGAGTTTTTTTGCAATAAAGCTAACCAAGTCTAAAAGTCGAGTTTCCGAGCTATGTATCGTAGAAGGTTTGTTTTAACAGATTCAAAAACTTAAATAAAACACATTTCAATTTTGGAAAAAATTCCTTTTTGTTTCAGGGGTAAAATCATGCGAGAACTGAAGTTTGTTGAGCACAGTCGAGCAAGAGCCAAGGCCCAGGTAGTGAACAATTTCAGAGGCCATAAACTAGCACTGGAAGAACAGAAGAAAAGTCTGAATTCTCAACTGGCGGGTTTTGCCAAGCCCAAACTGAAAGGCCTTAAGGATGACAGGTCCAAACTCGTTTTAAATTTTATCGCATCACATCTAAAGTGATTTTTTAGTGTTTTAGTAGGACTCGGTTTTTTATTTTTTTTTGGTCATGCTCAAGGAGAGTTTTTTAGATATCAATATCAAATATGACTAATGATAATTTATTTATTTCACAATATTTCGCAAGCTTAATGGTATATAAAATGATCCTAAAGATCTTCATGAACGGTGGTAACTCATTTCAAAACAGTTTAATTAGACAGTTGAAAAATCATTAGTTTGGAATTTTGATCTTTTGTTTAAATCAGTTGTTTTAAGCCAAATATTCAAAATTTTCCAAGTATTCATTTATTTCAGCAACGTTGTCGAAAAATGCATCAAAGAGTTGAAAATCACAGAGAGCAGTTTTAATGGACGACTTAGAAACTACAACCCTATGAGCGATCCCGATTTCAGCAACCTGTGTCAGGATCTAATCAACTATTCCAACCAAGTTAACTGGCTCAAAGAACTCATAGCTAAGCCAGACAAAGTGAAGCCTTTGGTCTATGAACCGGATTCAAGTTTGTCTGAAGTTATTTCTGGCTTCGGCAAGATTGTGTTCCAAAGTGAGAAAGAGAAACAGTCCGAAAATGATGAAGAGGCGGGTCAGAACGGCAGTATTGAAGATGAGAATGAACACAACAATGAATAAAAATGGTTCCAACATCAAAAACACAATTGTCATAAAAACATGCCTTATGGACCCTAAGCTCAGGGGAGATTAAGCAGGGTGAGGGGCGCATTCCATCAGGAATTGTGCACCTCCTCCGTCAAAAGGGTTACCCATTTGGTCCTGTTTTATGATACTCATTTTGGGCTGATCAGCTCTTAAATTGTTTTTACAAGTAGCCTTTCCACCAATATACACTAAAATGATACACCAGTCAAGAAACTCCTAGATTCGCTCCTGAACGGAAAACAATTTATGACAAGATTAACTGTTAAAAAAATTTTATGGTCCAAGAAAATTTTCATTACAAAAATCATTAATAAATCGAAAAAAAAAGTTTTTTTTTGCAGAAACTTTCTAAGTTGTTAGAGTTTTTGATTCTCAAGATGACGTTAATGAAACTCCAAAAACGAATTATATTCAAAACTAAAAGAAAGCAAAGAAAGACTAAAATTAAGCATAATTAAGCTATTGTAAACGGCCTAAATTAAGCGTAAAGAAGCATGCTCGCTCTCTTTCCCGCTCGAAATTAGACAAAAATCAAAAGTTTCATACCGTTTTGAAATATATATATATATATATATATATATATATATATATATATATATATATGAGTTAATAGAGAATGTATGAAAATTTTCAAGAAAAATAGGCCATCCACACTTCTCAAAAAATATTTTTTAAGAAAATGCTACAAAAAAGTTAGGCCGAAAGAAGTGTAGATAGAAGCATTGCAACAAACACAAAGTTTGCATTAAGACCTCGCTTGCTGTATGAATCGGCGGTACTCTGCTTAGCAGTTTGCAGTTTTGAAATTAAAGTCAATTTAATTTAGACGTTATTGGAAACTTCAGTTATTGGAAATTTTTTGTTGAAAACACGATCGATTTGATAATCAAAGCGTTCCGTATTTAAAGTAGCTCACCGCCCTAAAATTCCTACTTTTCGCCAAAAGTTTTTGCCTTTGCTTTGTTTTTGTAAGTTTCTTACTTATCTTATTTTTATCTTACTTACTTTTCAAGTTAGCCATTAAGCTAATTTTTTACTAAATGAAAAAGTTTTTTGGCGAAACCGATAAGCAACGGTTATTTTTTTCTTGCTTTGAGACGCCTAAAAAACATGCTAAGAGCTGACTAGAGACGTTCACTCAATTGATGGTGTTGTAAAAAAACTTAATTTTGTCACTAATTTGTATGAAAACCTCACTTGAACTGAATTTAAAGAGTTAGAAATAATATTTAAACATATACGCTAAGAGTTAGAAATAAAAAATATGCAGAGCTCTTCCTGAAATCAGGTCTGAAAAAACGGAGAAAAAAAATTAAAAAATGAGGTTGGTTTGCTGAATCTTCCTTATTTAATATGTTTCCTATTGCTCTATAGCCAATCTTAAGAACATTAAGAGTAAACAAGAGCCTTTGAGACCTAAGAAAAAAATTTTGCGTCTTACATGGATTCTTTTCAAAATAATATTTTTTTCACATTACAGCCTAAACACTTCTAATTATAATCTCTGTAAGCTTCTGAATGCTCTTTTGCTTTTTTAGAAGCTTAATGTTTAAAAAATTTTAAGGCAAAATTTTCACAATTTTATAAAACTAAGAAAAAAATTGAACTAGTATAAAATTTTCCCACAGATTGTTGTGGTAATCTTAGAAAAACAAGGTGAACAAGCAACGAAAAACTTTTCCTTGCACCATTCGAAACCAATTTATTTTGATTTTAAGTTAAATTTACACTGTTGGGAGGTACCTTAGATCAAATTATCTTCCGAGAAACATAAAGGATTTTTTCTGGTTAGAGTGGTTTTAAGCAGACTGTTTTCGGTGATCGAAATATTAGTTTTCATTAAAAATGTTTTCTACCCCCATGAAAAAATCAACTTTGAGTTCAAAAGAAAACAAATTATCTGCCATCTTTTTCAGCAAAAAAACTTTGGAAGTGAAAAGAATGCTAAAATATTCATGGCTCGGACCAGTATATGTGCGCTGTGAAAGTTTTATTCACACCAAAATTTTTTGATACTATCTAAATGATTTCAATGCACAAAGCTCAAAATTGAAAAAAAAAAATTTCTCTAAGCCTTTTTTGCGAAGTTACGGGTTCGGAAATGGTATAATCTTGGTCAATTTGAGATGATGAAAGCCCATGAAATTTGCATTTTTCATTAGCGCATTACAAATTCCATTTGCTCGAATTGTTCAAGCTCCATAAGTTTTCTGATAGCGGGACTTTATTTACCTTAGCAGCCATTCCAAATTTTAGGAGTTCAGGCACGCTAAGTGCTCCAAATAGTGTTAAAAGGTCCTCGATGTTTCAATTTGTAATTTACATTGAGTTTGGGGGTGAGAGTTACAAAGGAAAAAAATGAGAATTTTCAAAAAATAATTATAACATAAAAAGCAATTTACTCTGGTAAAGAAACAAACAAAAAAGAAATTTTAAACCTAATTACAATTTTTTTACGTGATGGTTTTTCGTTTGAGAACCGGCTTGGAATATTATCATTCAAAATTGATAGAACATTTCAAAAGCACTGTCTCAATTTCAGTTTGATTGTCAAAACAGTTTGCTGAAATTTAAGGTACGATAATTTCAAAAGCTCTGTCTCAATTTTAATTTGATTGTCAAAACAATTTACTTCAGGTAAGGATTCGACATGGTCGCGGCTGGTTCAAACTAGCTCGTCGGTCGAGCTAACGTCAGATTCAGATTTTTTCGAATAGGGAGTCCAATAATGAACCCAAATCAGCGATTTCAGAGTTTTTATAGCTACACATTTAATGATTTAATGATCAGGCAACTTGTAGTTTTTGACAATTATTTTGACAACTTGTAGTTTTAACAAAATTCGTTGAAAACAAATTTACATCGCCAAATATTGTGTGGAAAAACATCATTGACACAAATGTTTGCCATTTTGCTTCGAGAATTAACTGAGGAATACAAAATAACCCTGGTTAGAATACAAGGTCTCTGTGTTTGCTGGACGAGTAAAATGCAAGACAAAAGTCAAGAGTATTAGGAATACAAACGACTCTTCTAGTGAAATACGAACGACTCTACTCATAAAATACGAATGCACGAATGTCTGTAACGAAAAAATAATGAAGCTAAAAACTGACCTCTCGCTTGCTTCGACAAATTGTGAGATTTGCGAATAAAAGTTTAAATAGAGGCCGAAAACTTCTAAGATTCAATCCAACAATTTGCTCTTAAGCCACTACAACCTTTCTCACTATAAACACCAACTATTCTCAACCAAAATATCTCCAATCTAACCCTTAAAATGAATATCGATTCTAAAGGCAAATTGTAGTAAATTCATTCTAATTTTTTTTATTCAAGCATTTTCCAGCGAATTTGAGATTTACTTTCCAATATAGAAACTAAAAAGGACCTTAAATTACTAGCAAGCCACGTAGACAAGTAATGCTAGCGCAACAATACCAGCAAAAATCGGTTGTGAGTTATAATCTTAGTAAAAAAATGTCAACTTTCTATGCGAAAAAACTTCAAGGAGCTAGACAAAATCTTAAAATGTTTCACAATTCAATTCAACATGCACACGTTTGATCACTAATTTACAAATTATTTTGTACATAGCAAAATATCTTCAAAAACCATGACATTATTTTCACAAACTGGGCAGCAAATTACAATTTTTAAGTGGATTTCATGCAAAGCTGTTAAAAGTAGAATTCCTCGAAAAATGTTCAAATCACTATAAATAATTTAAATTTCTCCATCAAAAGTAAGCGCTAGTGAAAATCAATTTTCGACAAACAATATCCACTCTCAGCGTTAGAAAGTGAGTGCTTAAATGTTATTTTAGCCCAACTTTTAAGTTTCAGATAACTTCAGGTAATTGTATCTAAAATCAAAAATGGGCTAAATAGGGTTCCACAAAACCAAAAACCTTTAAAATCAAATTTACATTTTTAAAACAAAACATGTTATTTGATATAATGGACATTTTTAGCCCAATTTAGGAATATTTGAACTGGTCCGAAAATTGATTTTCTTCTTGACGCTAATTTATTATTTGTGCAGCAACAAAAATATTTTTTGTCAAAATGGCAACAAGGCTTCAGTATAGCAACAGTAGCGAAGACTACGTTCGGCTCTCAAGCACGAAGAGGCTTCGGTTCTGCAATTAATCGACAGAGTAAATTAGCACCAAAGTCACAAATTGATCGTTGTTAAACTTTCACAACAAAATATTGAATCAGACTTCTTAAAGCTCAATTATAAAATTTTCAACCTATTTCAAAACATTGAGATTTTTTTTCTTCTAAAACCTTTTAATTCTGAAAAAAAAATCCGCTATAATAATTTTTGGCGTTGAAAAGCAATCTTCTTTCGCGGTGCCATAGAAAAAATTTTCCCGCTAGAAATTTTCATTCGCTTTCAGTTTCAAAATAATTTAGCTCGCAGGACTTCCATTGGCTGAAACCTTTGTGGCAGTAGACGAGCTCATTTTGCTAGCCGACAGTGGCTTGGCCGAAGTAGACGAAGAGGTCTTAGCTCCAGTCGCAGGAACCCTGGCACCAGCGCTGGTTGCTGTCTTGGCCGCAACTACTGTTGGCCTGCTTGCTCCTGTAGTCGTTGGCTTAACAGTGCTTGTAGGTTTAGTTGCCAACGGTTTAGCTGCCACGGGCTTAGTTGTAGTCGGTTTAGATGGCGTCGATTTGGCAGTCACCACTGGTTTCACCGGATCTTTTTTCACCGCTGAAGTTGCAGGCTTGCTCGCCAGTGTCGTGTTCAAAGACGAGCGAACCGCTGGTTTGGTTCCAGCTACAGGTGTAGCTCCAGTTTTAGCGGTTGCTGCGCTGGTTGCCGAGTTCTTACCGGGAACAGCAGCCACTTTGGAGGTCGCTGTAGCCACCGGCCGACTAGTAGTAGCAGTTGCAGAAACTTTCCCCTTGGGTCCAACCGTAGTGACGCTCACTTTCTCTTTCGCCGAAGCTACACTAGTCGGTTTCGACGAAGCAGACGTCGATCCAATCGAGTTCTTTCGCGAATCAGTTCCATTGACAGCAGGTTTAGCTGACGAAGCATTAGCCGAAGCTGCGCTACTAACCGAAGCCACACCTACTTTTGACGTTTTAGGAGATGGTGACGCTCTGGTACTGGTGCTTGTAGGAGTTGGCTTTGAAGTCGGAACAGAACTTTTGGACGCAAGAGGCCTGGCCGCAGCTGGCTTTCCTGCTACATCCTTGGTCACGGTTGTCGATTTTTTTTCCGCCATAGTTGCGCTACTTCGTGCTTTTGTAGCGGCGGCAGTGGTTGTTCCCGTAGACGTCTTAGTAGCTGTACTGGCGCTTTTTCGCTCAGCCGCAGTCGAGGTTGCCGTTTTAGTAGTTGTTTTGCTTGTTGCTACGGACTTTCCACTTGAAACTGACGCTTTTGGAGCTATCTTATTCACCGAACTAGTTTTCGAATCCGAATATTTTACTGGGCTTTTCTTTTCTGTTGCCTTGACGTCTTTTTTAGTTTCTTGGCTCTCTTCTTGTTTGATGTTCTCGTCTACCTCTTTAGTGACCGGGATGTCGACTTTTTCTGGCATCTGTGAATCGATGTCGACATTGACTTCCATGCTTGACTCTAGCTCTTTGATCTCTTCAGAGCGCACAGAAGGATCACCGGTATGGCCAGATGAAACATCATCGGGTACTTTTTCCGATTCTTGAGCCACAGTCTGTTGATTAGCTTCTGGCAATGGTTCTGAACCTGTAGCCTCCGTCTTTTCTTCTTGCAGGGATTCTGACTTAATTACTGATTCTGGTTCTTGCACCGAATCCAATTCATGGATGCTTTCTGGCATTGGCTCTTGCACAGCAGGCACTACTTCTTGAGCGTATTCTGGCTTTGCAGCCGGATCTGCTTCCTGGTGTGATGTGGGTTCAATATCTTGTACTGCTTCTTGTTGCAGTTCCTGTGCGAGTTCTGTTTCTGGTACATGTGCGAGTTCTGGTTTTGATTCCTGTACGTTTTCTGGTTCTGCTTCCTGTAAGGGTTCTGACTGTGCTACTGGATCTTGCTCTTTCGTGATTTCTGGCTGACTTTCCTGGGAGTTTTCTAGGTCATCCTGCTGAACGTGCACTGCTTCTGGTTCCTCCTCATATTCTGCAGCAATTCCAGGCGAGGGCTCTGACTGAGTTCCTAGTTCAATTTCCTGTTCTGATTCTGGCTGCAATGCTGTTTCGGTTTCAAGCTTAGTTTCTGGCTCAAGTTGTTGTACGGGCTCTGGGGGAGCTTCATTAACGACTGCAGGATCCTCTATATGCACTGGCTCTTGCGCGTCTTCTGATTCAGATTTCTCCAGTGAATCTGATTGTGTTACTTGCTCATTTGTATTCAAAACTTCTGATTGCTCAGTTGGTTTTGGCTCCTGTACGGAAACTGGCTCCGTTTCAGTGTTCTGCACTTCAGATTCTAGCACTGACTCTTCGGTGGACAAGGATTCAGTTTCCTGCACGGATTCAGGCGTCGGTTGCTGTTCTGTCTCCTGGATGGTTTCGGGCAATAGTTCTTCTGCAGGTTCTGGGCTCTGCGCGGGTACTTGCTCATGTTGTGGCACGGATTCTGAAACTGCCTCCGATTCAGGCTCAAGTTCACGCACGGATTCTGCTTCTGGCACTTCCATGGGTTGCAGTTTTGTCTCCTGAACAGTAACTGATTCTAGATTTTGACACGGTTCGGTACCCGTTTTAGGCTCTGAAGCTGCTTCCTGTACAGATTCTGGTTCAGTCTCCTGTTCAGGCTCTGGCACTGAAGACTGCACAGATTCTCGTTCGGGCTCTTGTTCAGGCTGTGGTGCTGAATCCTGTACAGCTTCTGGTTCGGTCTCCTGCTCAGGCTTCTCAGACTCAAACAATAGCGCTGGCTCCTGCTCAATAACAGACCCCTGTTCAGGTTCCGACTGACGTTCGAGCTCAGATTCTGACTCTGCGACTTTATCAGGATCCCCTGCAGTTTCTCGCTCTAAATCCTGCATTAATTGTGGTTCTGGTTCTTGGACAGATAATGGTTCAGGTTCCTGCAAAAAATTTGCCTGTTCTGAAGGAGATTGCTCCAGCTCCTGAGCGGACTCCGATGTTGGTTCACTTTTGAGATCCAAAGTTTCTTCACGAGGTTGAACTGATTGCTCCAGCTCCGGTGCGGGCTCCGATGTAGGTTCAATTTCGAGATCCATAGTTTCTTCATTGGGTTTATTAGATTGCTCCAGCTCCTGTGCGGTCTCTGATGTTGGTTCACTTTCGAGATCCAGAGTTTGTTCATTAGGTTGCATAGATTGCTCCAGCTCCTGTGCTGGCTCTGAAGTTGGTCCATTTTCGAGATCCAGAGTTTCTTCATTGGGTTTATTAGGTTGATCCAGCTCCTTCCCGGTCTCCGATATTGGTTCATTTTCGAGATCCACAGATTCTTCATTAGATCCCTGATGAAGTTGAGCCAATTCTGGTTCCAATTCAGGCGAAGTATCTGGCTTGCAAATTGACTCTTGTTCTAGCACCGATGATGAGTCCAGCTCCTGTTTAGGAACAGTCTCAGGCACTTGTTCTGGATCCTGTACAAGTTCTGGCTGAACTTCATGAATAGGTTCTGAGAGTAAAACAGTCTGTTGCTTCAACTCTAGTTCAGCAACGTTCAGAGACTCAGCAGTCGTTTCTGATTGTATAACCGACTCTGGTTCATGTGCAATATCAGCCTCTGCTGCTGGTTCCATCGATTCATCAAAATCCTCTGTCAAGTCAGATTTCGTTTTTTCCATCTCTTCTTTGTCTTTAAACTCATCGTTTTCTGGGAGAATTTCCTCGTTTTCTTGCTTTCCCTCGAGGGTCTGGGTGGCTGGGTCGTTTTCTGCTAGATGACCGGATGTCGGCTCTCCAAATGCTGGGTTCTCTGGTCTGTCAAGCTCGACTTCGATTCCCTTTTCTTCACTTGTCTCCTCTGGCAAAAGCGCATCCCCTCCACTCAGCTCTTTTTCACACCCCCGCACTTCAGCATTTTCCTCGGGATCGTCTTCGGTTTTTTTGGTGTACACTTCGTCGTGAGTTGATGCCGAATCGGTCTCTACTTCGTTGACTTCTTCGACATTTTTGGAGTCTCCTGTAGTTGTAGCACCAAGCAAATCATCGTCGTTTTGGTCTAATTCTGGTTTCAGCTCATCGTTTAAGGCAGATTTTTCAGCCGCTTCAGTTTCTGAAGCTTCGGACACACCATTGCTATCCAAATAATTTTCTTTTATTTCAGTCGGTTGGTCAACTTCTTCTAAATCATCTTTTCCGTCGAATTTATTCTCCTCGGAGTCAATTTTGTTCGGTCTTGATGTTTCGTGATTTACAATTTCTTCGGCCTCTTCGTCTTCGGTAATGTCCAATTCATTGTTTAGCTTTTCCGGAGCATTTTCGATTTCTTCGATATCCGGAACTCCATTTGATCCTTCTAGATTTTCTTTCGGTAATTTGTCTGGCTGTGGTTGTTCCATAGTTCCAGAAGATTCTTCAGTCAGGTTAATTATATCACCAGTAGGCTCAGCTTGTTGCGGTAACTCTTGTTGTTTAGAGTCCATAAGATTGATGTCTATATTAGTCTGAGCTGGTTCACATTCTAATTCACCAAAAATGTTATTCTTAGACCTCTCCCCTAGATCTGCAATTTGATCTGTCCCATGACCATTGAATTCAATTCCTTCGGGGCCCATTTCTGAACTGTTTCTTGGTGTCGGTAAAACTGGGAACCCATCACTCGAGATCAAAGGCTGATCAAGGCCCCTGTCATCACCCTTTATAACGTGATCAAAGCCATTAATATTCGCATCTGGCGCAGCATCACCACTAGTTGGTATTAATAACTTTTCATCTTGGTTATGGTCGTCGCCCAGGGTCCCGTTTTGGTTCTCAACATCAGCTGATGAATTCCCGTTGGTAATTTTATTGTCGTCAAAATCAGCCTCAGGTGAAAATTGAGAAGCTCCAAGGGTCTCTTCTGGTTGCATTTCCTGTTGGCCTTCAGACTGTGAGAGAGTGGTTGGCTAAAACAAATTATTACATGTAATTCAAACTTGTTAGAACAAAGGAGAGAATTCAAAATCAATACTTACGTTGAAAGAATCAAGGACACTGAGGTATTTTTAATTATCTTTGATCTAATCAAGTAACATTAAGCCGAATCAAGTGACATTAAGGCACTGAAAACTAGGGACTGGGCAATGGATTTGCTTTTGTAACAAAATAAGAAGCCGTAATAGAATTAAATATCTCCTTTTAAATTTAAGCCCAAAAATAGGGGAATCAATTTTTATTTCAGTAAATATGGCTTCTCCAGAAAAAAGAGAAAATGCCACAATTATACCAACTTTATGAACGATCACCTTGGTTTTTATTTCATATGTTTTTCCTTTGTCTTAAGTCACACTGAATTAACATTTTTCTGAACCATATATAGCACTTGGTTCTTGTTCAACCACCTATATCGAGGGTGGAACGGAAGTTTGGCCATAGTTGCGCTTTTTCGCTCACACGTAATTTTTACAGGGAAACTCGGGCTCAAATGTTAGAATATTCTGGTTAACAAAGAAGGTCAATGATGAAGAACCTTGTCTTGAGAGTGATTCGATCCTCCGTTCTCCTCCTCCTCGATTCTTCCGAGCACCCCCTGGTTGAACTCGGAAGTTTCAATAGTCTCCTCGTCACTGTACTCGTCTACTTGCAACAAGTCATCACAAGGGGAGTTGGTATCTTTGATTGCTTCAATCGGAGATGGCTGAAGCATTTACAAGTACGGTGTTAAAACGAATCAACAAAGACTTTTGAGGAGTGGTGGTCAAATGGTGGCTGATCTTCCGCCTCTCAATCGAAAGGTGGTTGGTTCGAGGCCCACCATTATCCGTGTTTATGGCCAGAAAAATTTTCTAAAAAAGGTAAATTTTGCAACATAATCCGAAGGTGCAAGTTTACATGTTTTAAGATATAACTTTACAACACGCCCTCCCCCTGCCGACTTAAAGGGTCCCCCTTCGTACTATTTTGAGATCCATATTTGGGACGGACCCAATATATACTAATTTCGGGGCCAAAATATACTAATTTTGAGGGGGGAGCGCGCGCCAAAAAAACGCGATCTTTTGGTCAAAATTTTCCATTAAGCGCCTAAAAACGCCTTTTGGCCTGTTTTTCAAAATTTTGCCAGAAAATTAGACTAAAACAGGTTCTTTTTAGTACTCTGAGAGAGCCAGGAAAATAATTTGGTCGACCTAAAATTTTTTTTTTGAAAATCCGGGCCCCCCTCAATCGAGAAAATTTTAGATCCGCCATTGCTCATACCGGTGATCTAATAGATATGTGGCAAGAAAATTGGGAGTCAGATAATCATCTCCTCTTTTGGCTACAAAATTTTAAATATGATCCGGTGCAGCATTGCAGAGATCGAGCAGACTCAATAAAGGAAGGCGACTCATACCCCTATCGCAGCGGTCCGGCTCCCAGACAATGCTAGTTTTTTTTACGATAGAAGTTTACAATATAAAACACTGTTTTTTACTGGTTTAAAACGTGTTTTTTGTTTTGTTGTAAAACATGTTTTAAAACTTTCCCAACCCTGGTTTACAAAAACCAACATCGTCTAAGATAAATGCCTTTTAGGCTGGTTTCTAGATTATATTGGAATTAAATATAGCATGAAAATAAAAGTTACATTAACATAAAAACCACCATGGTTTTTGTTTACTAGCACTTGTTCATGAAGCTCCATTGTTTAACATTTTATGTTTTGCATGATTTTTTGCTTGTTTTTTTTCTACTGAAGAAATTAATAGAACTTAATTTTTCTGTAAACAGCAAAAAAATTTGACAAGCAAGATTTCGGATCAGTCGTACAATCTCCTCCCCCCCCCCCTAAGTGACCTACCGTAGAATGCCCTTCAAGCATGTTTTAATTCTGAAAATTTATTCTGTATAAAATATGCATTTCATACAAACGCCCAAATACAATTAGTTTGTACATTTTTTATGCGGGATTGAATTTATATGCTATTAATTACACAAATTAATGTTTCATTTCTATTTTCTTTAGTAACATGGTTCATTATGAACGAATCTAGGATAAAATCAAAGTTAGCTCATGAAAATCCATATTTTCTCCCCCATAAAGCGATTTGTACGGGCGGGGGGATTGTACGGTTGATCCAAGGTTTCGTTATGAATAAATCTGCAGAAGTTTTTTTTTTCAAAATCAGATCACGGTCTATCAAACTTCTCAGTCGTAAAGCAAACTTAAAAGGCTGTTTATTTGACAATTCAAATGATTGATAATTTTCTGTTATAATCAGCTGAAAAATATTCCGCTATAACCAAGATACAAAAACAAGGACTTCAATAAAAAAAACACGCACCATTGACGGCAACTTGTATCGCACGATGTATATTGACCGAATTCCACAAGCTATTTTGCGTTGACAATTAATTAATTTCTTTGCCAAACATACTTTTTGGTCCATTAAAACTCCAAGATATCGGGCTGAATCTTTTGTTTTCAATTCCTAATTTTCAAAGTAATTGAGTCTATTAGATCTGACGCTCAGTCAAAACTAATCATAACTGTTTTGTCCGCAATAATCAGGAGTTTGTACTGGGATAAATATATCGATACAGACTTAAAAAGCCAATGTATGTTAGTCATCCAAATAGGCAAGTTATAACCGCAAAATGTTAAGATACATCATCCGCAAATTATGTATCATCCGCAAAGATGTATCATCGGCAAAAACATGTATCATCTGCATAAAGATGTATTCTCCGCAAAGATGTATCATTCGCAAATAATTGCATGTAGTTCTTAACTAACCCGAGGAACAGCAAAAATTCTCCATTCAAACGCCATCTCCGCAAAGGGGCTAAACGATTCTACGGCATTCGTTGGGGTTTTTCATTTCAATTTTGACTTACGCAAAGAAATCTTTTCGGGAGATATATGCGGTATCATATTACAGTAATTTCAGTCGTCAATCGGATTTATAAATAACTCAAAAAGCCGAGAAACTGCCGAGAAAAAATTAGTCTGGAGTTTTTCGATTTCAGATTGATTGACACAAAAACTACAGATTGAACTCTTCTGCTTACCAATTCTACTGCCCTTTTACGTTGTTTCAGCTGTTAATATCGTGGTCGTCGAACCGTTTTGTGCTACGTGCACAACAACCGGTTGCATTATTAGGTGTTTGGTAAATTTCGGGTTCCTAATGTCAAATTAATTTGACCGAAGACTTTACTTTAAAATTTTTCTGCCACCCTAAATATTTTGAACACGCACATGAAAACCGACTTATAATAATTTGTTCATTCAAATTCAAATTGGAGCACTTAAGTAATGAAAAGCTTTTTTAAAGCAAAATGTCAAAGCGAATCGCCTCAAGGCAACCCTTTTTAGATGGTTACGACGAAATGTTCACTGCCAAATTTATAACTATTGTAGAGTCAAAACCTAACAAAAAGAGACAACAACAAGAGGCAATTTAATCATTCAAAAAGAGAGCTACTGAGTCTCTCTTGCGAAACTACATGTATTAGTTGGTTATTTTCTGGGAAGAGAATTGCTTCTTCACCCGGCTAGAAATGGGCCCGATTCATGGTCGGCCTCGCGCCAACGACCTTTCGACAGCAAAGCGGAGAAATAGGCCCCTTCGGCACCGCTTTCATTATCGTTACTAGTGGTCACTAAAACTTCAACAAAAGCAGAAGACTTTGATCGCGGACAAAACCCTAATGACCAGTAGCTGATTTAGGGGGGGGGAGGTAGGGGGGGGGGGGGGGGGGGGGCGGCGGAGGGGGCGCCTCTTTCTCTCAGGGATTCGATAATTTTTGAAGGGTCGCGCGCGCCGAAAAAACGCGATTTTTCAGTCAAATTTTTCCAAAAAAGGCCTAAAAATGCCTTTTTTGGCCCGGTTTTTTTTCAAAATTTTGCCTGCGGCGCAGAAAATTTGACCAAAATTTGACCAATTGGAAAATCAATTTGGCCGACAAAATTTTCGAATTTTTTTTTGAAAATCCAACCCCCCCCCCCTCCCCCCCTCGAGAAAATACTAGATCCGCCCCCTGCTAATGACCTAATCTTTATGAAACAACAGATATATCTGATTTAAAAAATCATGACAGAATATTTTGGATAATAGCAGTGATATATAAACCAGCCGAAGATTTAGCAGTGATCTATAAACCAGCCGAAGCATAATCCAGCTACCAAATAAATCAGCCTAAAATGATGGGGGGTTATATGATAATTTGGTAACAACTGCTTAGCAATTACAAAATTCATTCAAACTTCGATAAAATTACATACATGATTATCTCTCCGCTCGATTCTGGTGGCTAAATAATTCCAAATGCACCTGACTTTAATACTATATAGCTATGTCTAGTCGACCACCCCTTAAACTTTTTCTTGAAACTCAATTGGCGCCAATGTTCAATAATTCTGGACATTGTTACAAAAAAACTAAACAAAAAAAAACGGTTCAAGGACTAAACAACGGTTCAACAAATGAAATAATTGCAAACTCAGATGTTTCGATTTCTCATAATGCCATAGCATCATTCTTTCACTCACTCACTAAAAATCCTTTCCTACTTTCACCGCTCTAAAACTACTTGAAGCACCTCATTATATGAATAAAAATGGTGCAAAAATGTGCATCAACAACCAAAAATAGTTAATGAAATGCAGATCCAGACCCTAAAAATACGAGACATTAGAAAACACGTAAGATTTTTTGAATGCGAGTTTCCTCTTATGTTTTAAACAATTGAAGATGTTTGAAATGAGTTTCAAAGAAGGCAGGTTTTAAGCACAGCATCCCTGATTTTGGTAAAGAGTGCGCCAAAAAACGCAAATTTTAGGCAAACCTTTGAAAATGCTCAAAATTATGAGCGAATCTAGGATTTTCTCAAGGGGGGATTTAAAAAAATTGAAAATTTTGTCGACCTTTTTTTAGGTCGACCAAATTGATTTGCTTCAAATATCACAAAGCGCTTACATTCATAAACTCTTCGCCCGTTTCCACATTAAGCCCCTCCTGTGTACCAACTCCTTCTAGCAGACTGCCAATGGGGTCAAACTCATCCGCTTGCAGATCCATCAACTTCTTCTCAGCTGGCGACTTCAAAATGAACTGATCTTCCGATTCTTGAGCGACTTCAGACGACAGAAGTCCACTCTCGTTCATGTTTAAGTCCACCATTCCAGGTTTATTTTGTAAATCAGGAAATCCAAAACTGTCTGGTTTGGGTCCGTCCAGAGGAATAAAAGGCTCCTGCAACTCATCTTCTTGGTCTAAAAAATTGGACGACGGGTGTGCTCCATTAGAGCCGTCAGAGGTTGAGGTGAGACTTCGGCTGTGACTGGAGTTGGAATGATCCTAAAACAAATTACAAAATATATTAAACGGTCGTTTCATTTGTCCAACAAGAAAAACGGTTGCTGTACAAGGAACCAAAAATTTCTGAGCATAGCAAACCTTGCAATTTGTTTTTACAAAATGAAATGTTTGACATATTAATCAAAGTTTAAGATAAAATTTCATTTATTTTTTATACTTCATCTTTGGCAAATACACTGAAATTAGGCTTATCCAAACTATTCATAAACGATGAAAATATGGAAGAACAATATTCTAATAATATTGGACGTGAACTTCTTATCCATTCTTCAAGAAGTAAGTTAGTCTGAATAGCAAAAAAACTCAGAACCGTTTTTTTTTTCAAAATCACGAGTTTTTTACACCTTCCGAAAAGTGGTCAGAATGATAATAGCAAATGGCACGCTAGTCTGATCAATCCAAATCATCTTCAGCAGTCATGAAATCGACCAACACGAACATGACTTACATCATCGCTCAATTCGCAGTTGAGACAGCCAATTATATTCCTTTCTCTCTGTCTATAGCAATGAATTAGCTAACGTCCTGATACTCATTTATGGGGTGCGAATTAATTTTAAGAAATTATTTTTGAAATTCATAAATTTATTGTCAAGTAAGATCTCTGAGAAAAATTTGCAAAAAATAGAAAAACTTCTACAGCCTCATATGTAGAATAGAAAAATCTAAATTTAAAGCGAGGACAGCGCGTTGCTCTGCATGTATCACAAAATGTTCTGACCACACTGACTTCAGAAAAGAATGTCCAAATTCAATTTAATTTGGTCTTAATTCCCTGATATTTTTCTAGAAAGGACGATTGAATTAGGTAAGCAAATACACGAATGAAAGGTAAAAATTCAACAAAAAGTAAAATAACGTTGAAATAGTACAAAAAGTCTAGTTGAATTTGGAGATGAAATTTTCCTCGACGGAGACATTCTTTGCGATCTTTCTTTGAGTCACAGTTCCTTCTTACTTCAAGAGATGGTCGGAACAAAACTTCTAAACGCTCAATTAAAAAACTTCAATTTTCTACAAGCTCTCCATTAATGCTTCTGATATTCGGAATCAAGCCTGTACAAAAATGACTTTCCATCAGGGTTGCAATGTCTAAGACACGTCTAGTTTAAAACACGTTTAACACAGTGTTTAGAACACTGAATAATTTAGTGTTTAAAATAACTTTCCCTGACTGGCAGATTTTCTTGTGTGCTTTGACTAACTGAACTGTATTCGTGGAAAAATCTCCTTGATGGATTTCGTGAACGAGGTATCCAACGACGCGAATGGCTCGAAAGTGCCGAGAAACCGTAAAAACTTTCTAGTCTGGATTCTTGATTTGTTGTTTTTTGTCTCCGACTTTTCGGAGTCGATCCTACTGAAAGTGAAATGAAAGGAGCACTTAACTGGGGAAAAGAACGGCGCACAGACTACATATAATTTCATTGTTTTTAGGTTTGAAATATGTTTAAAACGTTTTAAACGTTTAAAATGTTTTTTTTTCTCGAAACGTGTTTTTTTTGCAACCCGCTTTCTATGAAGATTTTTCAATTTTTTTGGCAGATTGATTCAAAATTTGAGTCTGAGACCGAACAATATTGTTTTTATTAAGACGAAGCCCTAAAAGTTGATAACATTTTCAAAAAAATGAATTATCAAGTACACCACACGACACCGTATGTCAAGGTAGAATATGATAAAAGTTACGTCTATATGCGCAATATTTGGATCAATTAGCTTGTCTCAAAACATTCGAGTAGAGGCAAGCTTGAGTTGTGGCAGTCGAGCTCAAAATCTACAACTTCGAGCCCAAGACTATTAAAAAAACAGGTTTTAATTAAAAAATTTAAAATTGTCTAGAAAAAAACACCCATTTTTCAAATATTCCGTGCTTGACACATGCTCGCTCGAGTTAAATCTTCCGAAAGCATTGAGCTTTGGGAACAATTTTAAGCGAACACTTAGTTCCTTTATTTGATTCTAAAAAGATATCAGTTACTAGAGAAAGAATTTTGATTCAAATTTGTATGGCAAATCATTAAGCTGCATTGAACATTTGTCAAACTAATCGTAATTACTTCCAGTTTTTTCACGACAAATAAATCGAAAAATTAATTTTTCCTTTATAAAAAGGTCTGAATCAGTCTGTGGTTGGCAAAATTATTTCAAATAATGGGAAAAGCTTAATATGTTGAAGAAAAATGAAGTGCTGAAATGTTCAATTTTTATAACGATATACTATTCGAAGCTTGATTTTTCACTAATAAATTGGTCTGAGTCAGAGCTTTTAAAAAATTAATTTGGTCGCAGGTTTGTTTCAGTTAATAGTAAAAATTGAAAAAGCCGCCATTTAGGACTAATTCAATCTATGCAACTTTCATTCTTCGTAACGAATCCCCCTATTTCAAGATACATCAATACGGGAAACAAAAAATAAGATCCGTAATTTCCTACTAAACAGATGAGGTGCAACTTGAAACAAGTCCTATAGAAACCAATTTGAAACAAAACAGTCACATAAGTTCCAATGTGTTCAGCTGGACAAGCCTAGTTATTCCTTTACTTTGCACCAGTTTTCAAGTCTTTTGGACAAATGTCTCAGACCTACAAAAATAAAGGCACAACATGTATTCAAGGTCAGCAGACTGGGCTCATGTGAACAATCTCCCCCCTAGGTAGACAAAGTGAACAATCTCCCCCAAACACTAAATGCAAATTCAAGCAGTAAGGCCTGCATGTACTACTCTTCAATCAGATTGGCTGAAAAAAAATGCTTTTAACCAAGTGAAAGATCTCCCTCCTTAATTGCTTTAGGGGGGATTGTTCACTTGGCTCGTAGACTGAAATATAGATTTAAAGTAATCATCCATTTGTATCAATTTAATATTATATCCCTTGGCGAATTTTATGGTTCCGCTGTCTATCAAACATCTAATCAATATTTTATTGGAATGCTGCATTTACTAAATGAGAGAAACTAAATTCTCAGGCTATTGCGCCGGAAAGAAACGAAAATCGAAGTTAGTTTTAAATTAGATAATTCTTTTTTTTTTCGTTTTCGTTGGCAACTTTTTCAGTATTTTCGGAACATTTTTCTAAGCATTTCGGCGCCTGAGCTAAACCCTGAATAATAAAGGGGTTTGAATGCTTTCTAAAATCTTAAACGCTTTGTTGAATTCCACACTTGTTTTATACTGGCTGACCTTGGGTTTTATCAACTTGACACGGTCGACTTACCTGGAAGAAAAGGATGTTTTACATTACCAGACAACACAGCACAGTTTTTATTATCCTTCTCTCATTCGTAAAATATTATTTTTAGCAGCAGTGATCAATAAGTCTTAGAAAAAGCAAGCTTGGATGAACATTTCTTTAGAAAAAGCCTAAAATTTGCAGTCTCAAAAATTCTACCTGCTTAAGGGGCATCTTAAAACAAAAAAGTCAGGCAACGACGATGAAAAATGGACAAAACCATTCGAAAATTCGACTCAAAAGGACATCAAGAGAAATCTCAATTAGATTTTAAAAAAATGTGGCTCATTTTTAAAAATGTTTGTAGTGCATCCCAGGGTCACAACGGCTGAGACGTGGCCGTTTTGTTGACGATACATGCCCATAATGCATCTAATTACTGCCAAGAGTAAAAACAGTTTTAAGATCAAGATCAAACTCATATTTCTGCCATATAATTTGATACTTAATGAAAGCAGGTGTAATAAAGAATCAAACGGAAATCCTCGAATAAATGTTATTTGCCAAAATGATTTGGCACCAACGTGCTTTCTTGGAGGGATGTAAAATTCTAATTTCTAAATTGATTTAAAAAAATTACAGAAGCAAAGAAAAGAAAATGAACGAAAAATTACCAACAAAAAAAAGAACATAAAAAGATATACTGAAACAAAGAAAAGAAACAGAACGAAAATTTACGATTTTTTTCCACAGATTCAAGAATACCTCAGGTTAGCTCCAAGGCCTCTGATAACTGGTCACGCTTGCATAATAAGTCATATGCAGGAATGAATGAATTTTGAATATGCGGACAATCTGGTACAAGATCCATTCAAAGCTTTCGCTGTTTGAGAGTGTTTACAGTTTGTTTAGCGAGAAAAACTAATTGATGGATTTTTTGACAACCTTTTCAATGATTTTGATGGCTTGGGTTCAATTGAACTATTGATTGCCAACAATAATTATTTTCAAAAGTATCAGGTTTAAAGTCACTTCTTTTAAATAATGTTTATAAGAATCGGACGGTATTTGAAGAAAAAAAAATCAAAAAACGAAACTGCTCATTTGTTTTTGAAGCTAAACCTATTTGAGAAGACATTAAAAAGCGATCGGCGCATTTGAGAATACACCTTGAGTGAAGTTAAATTTGAATTTTTCCGCTGCATGGGGGCGTAGCGACTTGCATGCTTGCCGTTCTTTTTGATAATAGATACTTTAATTTTGATAATAGGTATTTTTTGCAACTCCTTTTTTAGATGCCCACTTTACGTCTCAATGATTCTGCTCTTAAAGCTCTTGAGGTGATCCTTTCGATAAGATGAATTACTTTCTCTTTGGGTCACCCTATAGGCATTTATGATTGTTTTTAATTAATGTTTCAATGTAGCTGGGGGCCCGACCTACTTGCATGCAAGTCGCTTAGCATGTGGCTATTAATGCAATTAGAAGTGAGTTTGTTTCTCTTACTTGCAACTGCAAACTCTGACTGATGCGTGCGGCGTCAAACAGAGTAATTATTTGAATAGCATGCGCAATTCAAATAATTACTCTGTTTGACGCCGCACGCATCAGTCAGAGTTTGTAGTTGCAAGTAAGAGAAACAAACTCACTTCTAATTGCACTAATAGCCACATGCTAAGCGAAGTGCATGCAAGTAGGTCGGGCCCCCAGCTACATTGGAACATTAATTAAAAACAATCATAAATGCCTATAGGGTGACCCAAAGAGAAATTAATTCATCTTATCGAAAGGATCACCTCAAGAGC